TTATAGGTTCATTATTAGCGTAAAAAATTGAGGTTGAAGTTTCGTTGTTAAATTCTGCGCAGAAATCTCCGCGCGTAACGTCAAAAATTTTTAAATGTATCTTTTTTTTTGCATCTTCGCGACATAGGTCTGATGAAATTTCAGAAAACTTGGTATGCTAGGTACCTAGCAGCTACTGATGACAAAGTGCTTCATTTTTATCGATTATAAGCTATACGCAAGATCCAGTAGACGCCTTCAAAAGTTATGACCTCACGGTGTTTGATGCGGGAATCTCAAGGTGCCATCTCCACCCGCATTTTCATTTCGCTTTTTTTTTTTTTTCGCTTACCAAACTTCACCTTGCCGTATGAGTGGTGTTTCTCGGATTGTGAAATTGCACTTCACTAATACGCGGCCGATTTTCGATTTAGTGTCTTTTTATCTCTCTTTATAAGTGTATACGCCAGCCGATATCGTGTGCTTAGGCGAATTATTCGACCTCGGAAAAAGAGTGCCTCGCAGTCGTGTGGGCGATCACAAATTTTCGCCCCTACCTTTATGGTCGCCCCTTCAAAGTAGTGACGGACCACTATGCTCTCTGTTGGCTGGCAAGCATGCGCGACCCTTGAGGGCGATTCGCACGGCGTAGCTTGCGACTGAAGGAATTTGACCTCACCATCGTTAATAAGCCTGACCATAAGCATGAAGACGCTGACACTGCCGCACGTACCCCTTCATCTCCTCAGTCAGAGAGCAGAGGACGACGAAGGCTTCCTGGGAGCCACTAGTTCATTGGACTTGAGCTGACGGCAGCGAGACGATTCAGAGATTCGACCAATAATTGAGCTTATCGAGGGCCACGACCTCCCGACACAACCATACCACGCCATCTGTCCCGCTCGTTGACGCTGCGAGACAGCGCGCTGCACTTGAAGAACGCCCGTTCTAACGACCCTGCATGCTTACCTCCTGGTGGTTCCTCGTGACACGCGAGACGACGTCCTCTTCACTTGCCATGACGAACCCACGTCTGGTCACCTAGGCTATTTCCGAACCCTTTCCAGAGTGAGCGAGTGGTACTGTTGGCCCGGACTTTCGGCAAGCGCCCAACAGTACGTCAAAGGCTGCCGGGAATGCCAGTGCCGAAAGCAATCATCCGTTAAAAGGGCTGGCTTATTTCAGCCAATCGAAGCACCTTGCATGCCCTTCGACCAAGTCGGCACGGACATTCTCGGGTCATTTCCCTTTTCTGCTTAGGGCAAAGATGGCTGATTGTCGCGACTGACTATTTAACACGCTACGCTGAGACGCAGGAGATCCCACGAGCCGCGGCTTCTTAGGTAGCGCAATTTTTCATGCGCCACATCGTGTTGCATCACGGTGCTCCTTCCAGTGTAATAATGAACGCAGGGACAGCTTTCACGGCACAGCTTATAAAAGGAAGGAAAAAAGATAACTTTATTTTTGGTCCTGCGAAGCGCGACTGAGTCACGCACCCGGCTCAGTCCCACGTAGGGACCGGCAAGCCGAGCCTTCACACTGGAGGAATGGGAGATGCTTCCACACAGCCCCGCTCTCACTGGTCAGCTCACAGCTGTCCAGCGGGCCCGCAAGGTGGCCGGCACAGCTTATGGACTAAGTTTTTGAACAAAGCAACACCAGACAACCGGCTACGCCGACGGCAAAAATCGGCCGAGAGTGTCCATATGATTGTTATCGCAACAAACGAACGACTACCTACCTTTACTCGACCCGTCCTCTAAAAGTAGCTTTGCCACAATAACACTATTGCTGCCACAAAGCCAACTTTACGGCTAGTACGACGCATTTTTATTGACATGCAGGTGCGTTTAAGGAGCCCCGCAACACTTTTATTGCGATAGCAATAATATGGACACTCTTAGCTGAATTTCGCCGCCGGCATCGGCGTGGGCGTCGATGTCATGCACCGTATATGTATACGTATCTATATATATGAAAATGCAAGAAAGAAGACAATCCCAGAAAAAACTCCCAAGCATTTCCCCGAGGGTGAACATGGTTAAGTGCGAATACACGGGGTGATGCTATGAGGGGTATTTATTAATTCGCACTATTATATTTATTAATCACACTATGGTGCCTTTATGGTGTAATGGTTCCTGGGAATCGCAATTTGATCACACGGGAGAGTTTACGTTAACTCACTGGCGAATGCCAACGGATTTTAACTTTACTCCCCCTCACGACCCGCTCTCGACGGGAGACTGAGAGAGAAGGCGGGCGCGCGTGAGAGAGGGGTGCGCGCGCAGCTGCAGCGAGTGAGGAGAGCGGAGCGAGCGAAGGGGGAGGGGGTATAAGGCGCGTTACTGACACCGATATCAGCGTCGCGTCCGTGGCTTATTCGGTAGAGCGTCGCGCTGCAGCCCGCCAAGTCCTCTTTCTTTTAAAGACAGAGAGAAGACTGCGGACGCCGCCGACGGCGGTGGATGGTTTGGGGTCGCTTATAAAGTGTATTCACACTTAAAAGAAGACTTCGGCGCGCGGAATCGAACGTGGGCCTACCACGTCGTGAATGAGAGGTGTTAACCACTAAGCCACTGAGAAGTACCTCCTTCAACGTTCAAACGGCAAGATATTCATATCTACCCCTTACCGCTGTTGGCAGGCATCTCGGGGGGGGGGTGGAGGGGGGCTATTGTGTTTTCAGCATTATCAGCAAGCTGGCTCAGTGAGCGCGCGGCGGCTCTCATCTTTCACGCGTACTTTGGCCCACGTAGATAATAAGGGGGTGTACGCTCGATCGCGCGCCCTTATCTTGCAGTGGAGAGAATCGTACGTCTTGGCTAGCCTCGTCAAGTTTCGTCGGAACGATTCTGTTGTAGTTACCGGGAGCACAAATGTCACTGCAATCGTTGCACAGCCTCCGTTTGCGAAAAGGGCGTGCTTTTCAGAGACAGCGAAGTAACAACTGAGACGCTTATTTGCATTAGTCTGCACCTTCGAGTACGTTTCGTGCGTTCTTTGTGAGAGAGAAACGCGGGGCACGTTTCGATCTGCTTGCCATTTTGCGCGTGACCCTCCAATTTGTTGCTATCGCGTTCGTTGCTTCGCCTTTGCGGCAAAGCTGTGACTTTTTTAAGTAGCCATGGAATGGATTCACTAAAGGAGCTCATTGCCTCATCAATTCAACACCTCAAAAAAAAATTGAAAGCAGTCCATACGAGCGAAATCGGAAACAAATTGTCGCACGCTGCAAGAGCATTCTCTCTCCTCATCCCGACGAAACAGCTGGAAGCTAAGCAGGTAGTGATGGCATAGGGAATGAATATACGTCACGCGCACCTCGTGATCTTCGGCATTTTTTTTTTTTTTTTCGTTGAATACGCGGCTTTTCTGGGCGATCACGGCGTACGCGTGGGCGAGTCGCGGCCTCCCGTGGTGGCCTCAGTAACTACCGATCGCGCCATGATCAAACCAGCTAGTGACTGATACAATGGCTGTAACGAGTGATTTTTGAGCTTGTAGCGTCATTTGTCTAAAGAATAAAAAGAGATTTTCGGCTGACTTTGGGAATTTATATTGAAATCCAGGCCGCGTGCTCCACTGTAATATTTGGCTCGCATGTTCTCGGGAGCCTGTACTACCGATCGGCAGCGTTTTCTGACCATGCTCAAAAAGTGTTGCAGGGCCCCTTTAAAGCGATTGAAGGTCTGGCAGTTTTACAGGTGTTCCACGCATTTTAAATCTCTACGCTGCACAAGCTTCCCAAGAATATAGTTAAGAAATCACCAATTTTTGATGTACCACTTTTAAAATTCGAGTGATTACATCTTTATTCTGAGCAGTTGCACATTTTGTTTCTACTTTGCACAGTATCAAAAATAAATAAAATTAACTAACCCCTCTGTCTGGGCCTAGATGGGACTTCAGCGTTTTGTACATAAAACAATGCTGCAGACATAGTCATATATTTCACTACACGTACAGCCCTCAAGTGATGCAAGTTAGAAAGTAATGCAAGTCATACAGGCTCACTGTAGTGAAGCTCATTTTAGCAATATTGCGATCCACTTGTTCGACTTACTACGAGTAAATGTACATTTCTTCTAACTTAATTTCCCATAATATTATCCAGCTGATTCTGAGTTTTATGAGTGAAAGGAGCTTGACAGCTTTCCCAGTTTCTTGTAGCAAAAGTACTAATTTGCCTTGCATCCACACCTTCACGAGTTATTTAGGTTGGGTCAAATTACAAGGTGGTTTAAAGAGGTGTACTGCTTGGTAATTTACTCTCAAACTTTCCAAAGTTATCCACACTGTTAGCATCACACATTACTATTTAGATCAAATTATTAGTTACATAGCAGTTTTCTTTTTTAACAAATTCTACCATTAATAAAATGCACAAGTATCTGCACTACACAAGGTAGATTTACCACTTGAACAAGGTTGTCTTCTAAATTGAGCATAATTCTTAAGCAAGATTTTTTATACAAAACATTTCCTTTTACTAGCAAGTTCTATCCAAGCCTGGTCTAGGTAAACCTTGCCGCTTATTATTTGCAGCAACCTGTGGATCACCTCTATATCAACTTTATGCGTCACATCAAAGAATACATCGTTTAGCAACAGAAGTTGGTCCTTCATTCAAAAAGTTCCAGCATTAAATCAATGAGAGGGCTTGAATCTTAGCCGTTCAATAGCTAAATGCCTTTTGTCTCTAGACAAAAGGCACCAGATTATCTGGTATATTTTTTGTCTGTAGACGAAAGGTATAGCAGATAAGCCACCACTTTAACGTTATAAGGAAGACAGATTGCTATGAATTGTGGCTATTTACAGCTAGACGTAGTTTCACTTTTATGCCCAACAAAGGAGGCGTTGTCGGACCAGGTAACGGAAAGTTTGCATCTTCATGCAAATGTACACCTATGGGTTTTGTTGAAAATGTTGCAATAAGCAAACACCATAGAACCTACCCATCAAATACCTATGGCCGAGTGCTCATTCCAACCACCAGGCAGATGCAGCAAAGATAGATTCAATACACATTGAATTTATTGCTATACATTTGCACTGGACATCTTGCACGTCCACTTGCAAACAACGAGCAGGAGACACCGGCTCGTTCAGTGAGGTTGTGTTGATGGTGTGGCACGTCATTTGTGATGCGGTTGTGGCCCAATGGTGCTGTTCAGATGAGGAGATGGACACCAAAAGTGGCCAGTGCCACCCAATGACTGGCAAACTGCAGCTCTGACCATTTGCCAAGGGTGTGCTGCATACTGTAGCCCTGCACAGCAGCACAGACAGAGAATTGCCTTCGTTGTGTATCGTTTTGCTTGAAATGGCCGTGGCTACGGGTCGACAATAAAAGGTGGAGTTCACACAGACCCACACAAGAAATATACTTTGATACTTTTCGCTTAGGGCTCACTCACACTCGGCAATACTTTCCTCAACCGGATTCACTCAGACTCGCAAACATTTTTTCAGCCAGATTCTCTTGAGTTCAAACTCACCAAAGTGTTACCAAATAGTACTAAAATATTATCTTGGAAACGGTACAAAGCACCACTTCCAAGATAAGTTGTCGCTGTGTATAGTACTTCCAGTTCTGTGTGTCCCTCTCTTAAATTGCTTTCATAAGTGGCCAAGCACAAAAAGTGATGGCAGCATTGTTGTATGGCATGAGAAGTAGTGTCTTGCTACCAGCATACCCTTATCGGTATCAAGAGCAAACCATTAGTGTTATAAAACACATCTTGCAGACCTGTCTATTACACTAACAAAACTTTGCCAGAGCCTGAAGAGCCATGAAAACGGGCGCCAGCCTGTTCTGGCACATGTATTGTCATGGCAGTTGATGGTAAGGATGATAGCACCAGCCATGCACTGAAAAAAAAATTGCTGTTATAGAAATGTTTAGGTTTTGCACACTCCAGTTAGTGCGGCATTTGGTGCAGTATTCCCTCTGTCAATCTCAAGTTAGGAGATGGAAACTGCTGGGCTCACAAAAAAAAAGCAAGAAAGACATAAATTATGTAAAAGAAGCACAAGTGAAAGCAAGCAGGGTGCTCAGTCACGCTTCGGCAAACTGTTTTCTAAAACTCCCTGATAAAACCCTGTAATAACTAGGTGAGATGCAGCTCGAAAAGTGTGCTTTATATGCTTTGAGTAGCACCCAAACGTTGCTGTTACCAGAATGACCGATTCGACATGTTATACCGCATTTAGTACTTGCATAATGGCTGCACCGGGCGGTATATCGCCGTGAACAATCTCAATCCTTCCACCTACTGTAATGATTCCGCGCTGAACAAACCACCTCTGAGTGGCGATGGCAAAGACAGTGTCCCACATTTTCCATTTTGCGATATTGTCAATGCGTCCCATGTATTTAGCTTGCTTAATGCCATTTTGTCAAGGAGCAGTATGCTAGTAAAGGCCATTGAATACAAGCTCAGAAACTGCAACCATGCTGCCAGCAGCCATAATCTAGACATTGTTTTGCATTGTTTCCCGAATATTGACATTGACGCAATTAATCTCAAAATAGGGCACAAGCAGCAAGAATCTGTTTCCATGCAGAGGGATACAGCAACAAGTTCAGGAGTACAGTCTGTTGTCTCGTGAATGATATGACACACACACACACGCAACATCAGTGTTGCCCTACATAGTGCAAAACTTGGCAGTCCACAAGGCACAGCAGATTCATTATGAAACAGAAAGACACTTCACACTTTTTGGTCCAACACTATCTAACGACCGGTCCAAGTGATCCCTACGCACCTACTCCCTGTCACTATATGGTGAAGTGAGGGTAGTGCTTAGCATGTTATCTAAGATTCTGTTTTCATAATGTTTTTAAAATAGACGTCAATTAACTCCTGTTTACCTGTAAATTGATCTGAAACAGGGAAGTTGTTGATAAACAAAGTCTTCTAAGCAAGCCCAGCCGGTTAGCACTGGGCTTCAGCGTCAGCGTACAAGTTGCCACAGCAATAGCCAATCATCGGGTTTCGTCAGGCAAGCCTTTATAATTATTAATTTTTTTTCGTGCTGTTTTCCTATACAGTCACTATGAGAGGAGGGTGTGAATGAAAAGCAATCCTTTGAGCCTGGAAAGACTAGATTGCTCTGAACTTGAATTCTTTTGCACTATTTCGAGCTCCTTTGTCATCATTGGTGCTGACCGATTTGGTGAGCACAGTGTGTTTTCAGCTAAGCCGATCTGACTCAGTGCAGACTAATACACTGGAGATACTGAAACCAGTGGTTTGAAAAGTTTCTTTAGCAGTTTTCTAGATCCCTTATGACTAAACTGCACTTCCTGCAGAGAAACTGGTGCAACGTTTAGTGAAAGAATGCATCTATTACAGGAACAGGCCCTGTCAAACTTGATTCTCTGGCTGCGGTCCAGGTAGCCATTGTAGAAATTCTCACCTGCAACTCGTTCGTACTTTCGACACTATGAATTTTTCTCCCACAAATTTTACCCAGAGTAATGAACACCCCCCTACATCAACAAGAGGTTTCTGGGGGATTGGCGCAGTGTAACAATGACGATGAGGGTGGGACGGATTGGCTTTGGACAAGTAGACCTGTGCAAACAGGAGTGCTAGGCAGCTGCCAGAACTTGGACATGCCAACGGTACCTGGTCAATGTGTGCAGTTTGTCTGGATGCTTATTTTGAAGCATGTAACATCGCAGAAAAAACTAAGGAAAGAGCGCTCGTGATATCACCACTCGCAACAGCGCAGTGGGAGTGGTTCAGGAGCACTGCCAGCCAAAGAAGGTCAATGAACTCAAATACAATGAAGTCGTCGAGCATTCAGAAAAACATACCTCCCGAGTCAATGACAGCATTGCAAGCTATACATTCTTCATGCGAGCACAAAAGGTCGGTGAGTCGATGTAGGATTTCACTGCCAAAATTAGATGGCTGGCAAATAAGTGCTATTTTGCAACATCGTTTCAGCACATTCTGTGAGACCTAATTGTATTTCGTGTGCAAGACGAAGACATTAGGCAACACTGATTGGCACAATAAAAGCTCACACTAAAATAGGCAGAACACTTCACATTATTGGCACAAGAAGCAGCTGAGAACGGCCGAATAATGCACTCAATAAAAGCAAGGTGCTGTAAATTTTTCATGGTAAAAGAGCCGGACTGGGAAATTTAGGCCATAGACGAATATTGACAGACAATGTGGGTAGTGTTATAGTGAAATACTTGGCAAGAATAAATGTGAACACCACCGTACAACGTGCCACGGGCCCGACAAAAGAGGCCATTGGAGCAGAATGTGCCAGTCAGCCACATCTAGTCACCGACAGCAGACATGTGGACGAACGATGTCATATGCAATGACAGCTGAAGACTGCACAACGTCAGATGACGGCGAGGCCTAGTACACCACAGAGGCTGTCCTTCATCAAGAAGCAAGCATACGCAAGGTTAAACATTTACAAAGTCATCAGCTAGGATAACATCTCTCTAAAACTGTTGGTGGACCCCAGATGGCTTGTAATCACCATTTGAGCAGTGGTGTTTTGGAACTACAACGTGAACTGGCCACCATTGCAAAAAAAAACAGCTAGAACTGTCCTGCCTATAGGGTGAACTTCGAGTGCTGCAATGAAAAAGGTGCGATGTGCACAGTCATAGTGGTTGACAGCGTGGGACTAGTGGTTGACAGCGTTGTGTGGTGGAGACACGATAAAGGTTTTTAACAAAGCCAGAGACACCATGCTGACGAATGTCGTCACGAGTGTGCAATTGATTACGTTCAACAAAGCCAATACTGAGCTAAAGGGATGACCCAGCAAATATGCTGACATCTTTGCTCGAGGTTTTGAACTCTACAAAGGACTGCCAGTGATATTTCAGCTGAAAGAAAACGTGGTTCCACAGTTTTTCAAGGCCCTGACTGTACCTTATCCCTTGAGAGGCAAGATGTTGGAAGCGCTGGATCAGCTGGTAGGCCAAGATGTCCTTTCACCAGTGAGTGTCATTAAGTAAGCAAAACGAGTCATACACACCTATTCTAAAGAAGGATAACTGTCAATGTGGCCACTGCGATGGAGCAATACCCATTAAAACAAGTGAACGATCCTGCTGTGAAACTGAACAGCAAGAAAACTTGCACAACGCTGGACCTACGCCAGGCCTACAACCAGCTATCAATGGGTGAGGATTCCCACAAGATGGCAGTCTTGAACACTCAAAAAGGTCTCTTCCATTTTAAACAGCTGCACTTTGGCTTAAGTTCACAACAGCCATGTTTCAAATGGATGGACGTGGTGCTGAATAATACACAAGGAGTATAGGCGTATCTGGGTGACATTATCGGCGCCGAAAAACAAGTGACATGTCCTGCCTATGGAGTGTCCTTTAGATATTGTCATGTACCACAAAAGATCTTCAACTCGGAAGAACTGAGCCGGCGAGGTGACGCACAAACTAGAAAGATGGCTGTCTCAGTATTAACTAGCCAGAGCGCACTGTCCCAGAACTTCTTCTATTTTAAGAGGTAGCCATGCCTCACGCTCGTCGTACCTAGTGGCCAAGTGGCAATATTGTGGGAATATGGTCTCAGGCTGCACAAGAAAAAATGCAAGTTTTGCAAGGTGAGCTCACCTTTCTCAATCATCGTGTTGACACTAACGAGCTGCAGCCAAAAGACAAGAGCATCAAGGCCATTCACAAAGTGCTGGAGCCCACTCCATTAAGTGAGCTGAATGCATTCTTAGGTATTGCGAACTATTAGGACGAATTTTTGCCTAACTTGTAAACCGTGCTGGCTCTGCCGTACACCCTTTTCGCCAAATGTGCCAGGTGACACCGAAAGGAGGAACATAAAGAATGTTTTGGGGAAGTTAAGGAGAAAATGGAGGCCTTGTAAGTTTTTGGACCATTTTGATCCTAAGAAGCTATTGAGACTGGAGTGTGATGAGTCACCAGCAGGTATTAGAGCCATATTGTCCTACGCCATCAGTGGCATTGATTAGCCAATTAGTTTTCACAACAGGAAGCTTACAAGGGCAGAATGTATTTAACCACAGTTAGAAAGAAAGCTCTAGAACTCGTGTTTGGTGTACCATGGTTTAAGGACTATGCGTACAGACATGAGTTTGTCCTGTTGACAGACCACAAATCTTTTATTGATTTATCAAATCCAAGAAAAAGGCAATACTATCAATGGTAGCTACTCGGATTCAGCATTGGCTTTGTTTTTTGATAACTAAAGCCATATGGTTCAATATCCTGAAGGCAGCAAACATTCTAATGAAGATGCCCTCAGCCGATTGCCACTGCCTGTTAGAGAGCCACAAGAGGGCCGTTCCGACAAATGGGAGTGCACTTGGTTTGCTCAGGGGATTCAGGAAACAGCGATATGCGCACAAGAGTTGAAAATAATGACCGATTGAGACACCACTCTTTAACAGGTCAACGAATGAACTTCAGAGAAATGGCCACTGTTTCGACCCCAGGATCAAGAGTAGTACTGGCAATACAGAACTTACAGGAAGTGCCGATCTGGTGTACTGGGGTCATCGCATTGTTTTACCCTTTGCAGCAAGAAGATGCTCACTAAGCCTGCTGCACAAAAGTCATCCCTGTATGGTTCATATAATAAGTATGGCCAGAAAGCTACGTAACATTGAGTGGCCAGTCAAATTATGCCTTGTTTGTGCACAAGCTTTCGCGATGTCACCTGCACAGGCACCTGCGACATGGCCAGCGAATGGGGAAAGTTGGAGCTGTCTGCACGCTGATTTCGCAGGTCCAGTGAACGAACACATGGTGTTGGTCATCGTAGACTCAAAAACAAAATGGATCGAAACAGCGCTGATTAAGATTGCCAATTCCAAGACTAGGGTCAGAGCTTTGCAGTCAATGTACGCACAGTTAGGGTTTCCAAAAACATTACTGTCTGGCAATAGGCCACAACCTATGAGCATGTTTTTTCGAGAGTTTTTGGCATGTAACAAGGTACAAGAGCTCACGACAGCACCCTGTTATCCACAACCTAATGGGTTCAAAGAGAGAGCAGTGCACATGCTGCGGTAGAGACCAGAGAAACAATTCACTGATGATTACTATACAATCGAATTCAAATTCTGAGCGCAGCTTCATATTGGGGCGACGCCAACTCTGTTCAAAGTTCTAACTATCCGCAATTATAGCAATGTAACACTTGTTACATATTGTTGCATAAAGTGCAACTGCTCGAGGGCTATGCACATTACTCTCTGTATTGCAGTCATCGTGAAACAAGTGAAACATTGACAGCCCCGTTGCGACAAGCGAAGCCAGCTTTACATGCGCAAGAACTTCAACTGAGGGGCCAACGCGCGTGATGGAGGAGGTAGTTCGTGATGTAGACAGGCTCTACAATCGCTCTCCTTTGTCTTTATTTGCAATATCAGTTATGCCCACAACGCCAACCCCGACAACAACGCCACTCAATGCAGGAACGGGCGCCAAGAGCAGTGCTCTATACCCAGGTTGGATCGATTTTAGTTCAAGTAGCCCCGAACACCCAGAGAGGATGGTAAGTCACCAGTGGAACTACTGCTGGGTTACCAGATTAGGTCAAAGACAGGCAGCACCGAGCCCGAAAAAAAGTACGTTTGCCAGCAGCAACGCGAGAAAATCTAATGCAGGTGATCCCGTGTGGATGAGCAGTTATGAAAGAAGTCAAAGGTCAATTCTAAGGCTTGTGCACGACCAACAAGATTTCACAATTGTCACAGTGTATTGTGCTCAAGGACGGCACTAATGGCATCAAGATGAGCTGAAACGTCGAGCTGCATTAGCGGACAGTGACCCTGGCCAGAAAAACAAGCAGGAGCCAGCTGAAGATACCGGGAAAAAGGTGTAAGACAACCTGAAAGAAACAGTGGCAGAATCGGCACCACCACAGCTCTTGTGAAGAGCAACCAGCCAGAGAAACCACCTGAATGCTACAACTTTTAACAGGGGGGAAAGACAATGTGTCAGCGGTATTCATTCTTATCACTGCACGTCACTACAACATCGCATGCGTTTCGTGTAAAAACGAGTTGCTCAATAAGTCATCATTCCTGTTTAGTCGCATGGCTTCCTTGTGGCATCCTGACAGCAACATAACTATTACGTGAGCAAGTACAGTAGATGCATTCAAAATTTTTACTGTCACCATCACTTTTTGAATCTTCAGGTCATTCATGGCTGCCAAGCACACCGGCACTTGGATACACCATAAGCAGTTGTCTGATCTAAGTTATGTAGTTAGATTTGAGGCTCCTTTAGTACTTAACTAGGCTGCAGTGTTGATATATACTGCAAGGAGCTTGCTAGAAGTGACATTAGAAGCGTGAAAAACTACCACCATCTCTGGGTAATACACAGTTTCAGTGCACAAAACATCAACCATACAACATTACCGAGTGGTCCATTACCAAAATTGGGGGACCCTTAAGCTGCACCTTTAAGAGTTGAACGCGATAGCGAAATCCTGCCCCTAGTGCGCTCTTCAACCGCTAAGTGCATACTTATTAATATGGTGTGTTGCATACACACACATGCATGCACACACACATGCAAACAGTACATTGTACCAGTGCACGCGCAAATGGTACATACAGGTTTTTGATCTAAAGCAAGAGTCGCATGGCCTCCAAGATACATGTCGTGCGCTCGCCATCTCGGAGGCCATAAAGACTGGGAGGACTGGGAGGAAGCCCTTAACAAGGACTGGAAGGAAGCCCTTAACAGCGGCGACCTCTTGGTTCAACTTCGGGCTGTCCAGAGGGCCTGCGAGAGGGCGGAGGGCCACGGTCTTCCGGTCCCTACGTGGGAGCGGCCCGCGACTGCTACGGATTCCCCCTAAACGGGGCCGTTACAACGCAGTTCCTCAGGACCCGAATAAAGTTCTTTGTCTGTCTGTCTGTGCCTCACACATAGCAGCACATTACCTAGCATTTGCTGTTTGCTTGATCAACACCTCTGGAAAGGCATATGTTTTCCGCTAGATGGACATAGTTTTCCATTTTTAGAGCTGTTTGAAAGTTCCTGTTTGTTTTTAGCGGCAATGCCTGCACTATCCCGGCCTTTTTAGACGTAGTTTGAGGCTTCCCAAATGCGCCTACAAATCGCCGAATGGGCTCCTTTTCGTTGTGACACCTGTCAAACGAAATGCGTTAAAGGGGCCCTGAAACACTTTTTCAAGTAACCATGGAATGAATTCACTAGAAGAGCTTATTGCTTCACGAATTCAATGCCGCAAAAGTTTTGAGAATCCGTCCAGTGCGAGTGGAGTTGCAAAGGTTTGTCGCACACTGCAATTGCATTATCTTTCTCTTGTCTTGATGAAAGCGCTGGAAGCTAAGCAGGGAGGGGTGGCAGGGAGGGGTGGCAGGGAGGGGTGGCAGGGAAGAAACTACTGCGCCTCGTGACCTTGAGCAATTTTTTTTCTTCAAATGGGCGGCTCTTTCAGGGTGATCGCGCGGGCACGCGTGGACAAGTGGCGACCTCCCGCGGCGATCTCGGTAACTTAATTTTTTGGTCACAGCCACACAGACGATTTTTCGCTCACAATTAACGGGGCCGACACCGGCGGCGGGATTTCCGCGACATGAGCTGTCTAACGCTATCGTGTTAAAATCAATGTATTTCCTGAACAGCATCATGAATACAACCAACACTTTTTTGTTGCACAACTTTTGAAAACAGTGAAGCACTTACAAAAATGACAAGACTAACCATTCTAGTTGCTCTGCTTATATTATGCAACAGACCACAATATTAGCATTTAGACATGTCTGTAGAGATGGGGCCACAGAGTAAGATGAGACATGAGTGCTGACTCTGTTTCCACACAACATATTTGCTCGAGATAAGCTGTGCAACACAAACAGAGTGGTTTAGCTAATTTCTTTGCTCTCTCCCTCCGTTCCTCTTCGGACTTATGCACGCGCTTTCTTCTTTCGTTGCGCTGCTCCTGACGTATAGCGCCATCTGCTTAAGTGCATGGAAATCAACAAATTCTTCTCATGCGCGCATGCACTGACTAATGGAGGCTGGCGGCAGCGGCAAGCAGATGACAAACCGGGTACGCAGGCAGACGAACCAACGTCGCGAAGCAAGACAGTGTGCCATTGCTTATAGCAATAACCGAGAGATCCCCCGCTCGAAGCTCTGCTCGAGGACCGGTGTCTCTCATATGCAGCTTTTCTTCATTTTTAACACCATCTGGTGCTGCAAAGCAGGAAGCGGAGTTGTAGAATGTGCCTTTTTTAGACAAGCAGACTCAGCATTCTTGTCTAATTTTACTCCATTAAAGCCCACATGTGTAATCATTCACATGACAGCAACTAAACAAGCCATTCATACAAAGTATCGCTCAGTTTTGAAACTCTTGAATTTGCCACCAGTCCTGTGCAAGTGCTACACAAAACAAGCAGAAAATTGCCAAAACAAATTGTATATTAGTGGTGTAGTACTACTTGTCGCTCATGCTCGCTCAATGATACATGCCCAGAACGAGCAAACCAAGGGCTCACACGTCAGAAGAAAAAAAATAATAGAAAACTTTCATATGTATTTTCTGTCACTTCGTACGACAAAACATACTGATTTACATTATATTGACGCAAGACAGACATCATCTGGATTGTGTGTAACAGTATACTGCAGGCAACAGAACAGTTTCTTCACATAGCAGCTGCCCTCATGCAAGCAACACAGGAGATTCATCTCCAAAGCAGCCAAGTGTATACGGTTTCGTTGTCTAAGCGAACGCTGAAGTGACGGTGACTTGGATCATGACACGCATTGCCGTCACGCAGATGGTTGCACATATGAGGTTTGTGTTTGGCCCTCATCTATAGTTGCAAGGCAAGACCTTTACTACCAATCAGCTAAGACATCTTCATTCTCTCCTGTTGAAAACAACCGCACAATGCCATTGTGGTGTGTGACACAATGCCCTTTCTGATTAAGTACGGTGAAACGCACAAGTACTAAATAGGGACGAGTGGGGACACCTTACCTGCTCTTGCTGAGGTTCACTGTCGAACATGAGTCCCAAGTAGGCCAGGTGAAAAGCCGCTAAAAAGCCCAGCGCGAGATTAGCGCTCCGAACACCCCAGTGGTTAGCCTGCAAACAAAAGAATAAAAAATGAAAGAAAAACGAGTTTATACGTTCAAGGTGGCAGTGGGCCAGAACTCATGTTGCCCGCTTACTTGATGGTCATGTAAGACCTTTCTCATATGTGCATTTTAAGTGCTCACTTTCTGAGTCTTCAATAAAGTCTGCTGATACAAGACACCTCTATCAACATGGTTTGTTCTAATTGAAGTACCATTGCCTACTAATAACTGTTAAAGTTGTACATCCCAAAACCACAGTATGATTATGAGGGACACAGCAGTGGAGGTTGTCAGGAATTACAACTATCTATAGTTCCTTAACATGCATTTAAGGGGGCAGACTGGTCTTAGACATTTTTTGTTTATTTCTTCAGTGATCTTGATAAAACTGCACAGGGTTATACAGTTTTTTCTGCTGATTTCAAATATGTAATTAGTTTTCCTGTAACTCACTTTGTTGCTGAGATAACTTAAGTTCACTCCCTATTGTTTAAGGCCACCATAGAAAAAAAAGTGCTTAATTAAAAGTGATATTTAGGATATGCCAACATAGACTAATGACTATAGAGTGAAAGTATGGAAGAGGTTTTTGTTTTTAGACCTTTATTGGTTATTTTGCAGCAAAATGAACTATACATTTTCAAAAGCAGTTGGAATTGTGTTACTATTTTGATTAGTAATTAATTAAAAGGGCATGTGCTCTAAATTTTGCTCCCATACTTGCATTCTACACACATACAGGTTTCCACTGCAAATAGAAATATTGTTGTACCTGCCCTAGCTGCAGAGATATTGAGGCCTCAAAATTGAATAGTCACAAATTTACTTTTTTGAGAAAAATGGAAAAAACTTAAAACACACAGTTTCTTCAAAAAGCAACGATCATGGTGCGCATGTTTAGCAATCCTCACGAAGGCACTCATAAATTGGTAGTAGAGCTTTAGACAAAGGTGCTGGCAAATTATAAAGAAGCCTCAAACTCGGTTCCCTATTTTTTTGCAGGTTCTGCATGTTAACAGCACCAAGAATCTGGACAGTTAAAATGACATTACAAAAAAATTACTACTTCTTGGTGCGTGAAAATTTGCAGAGAGATAGAAAAATACTTGCAGAAACCAAATATGTCAATTTTAAAAAATGAATATTTTTGTCACTTTTTGGTCCCAAAGAGCAGTCTGCCCCCTTAAATGCATCTAAGCACACACCTACTACGTATAGCATTTCACTTTTATCGAAGTCAGTATGGCGGCGAAATGCCTCCACTATAACTACTGGACCACCGCAACGGATAAAATCATTTAAACCAAAAGGGGCAAATGTGTGCATGCCATTGGGCACCAGGAGTGCCAAATTAATTTGTAGGTAAATACTACATACTTTTAACTCATAACAAGGCGATCGAATAGGCAGCGCTTCCATTTTCTACAGCACTATATCTTGTAAATGATGCTATTGTTGTCATTCAGTATGTATACTGCCCAACCTAAGACCGGGCTGTTCAATTTGTGCGACAGTTACGAATGCTTTACAAACTGAAGACAAAAACAGTCTTAATATTAATTTGCTGCCACCTATTCTCATCTAATGTATTAAGTGATCAATATTTTACAATTGTTTCAGCTGTATTGTTGCACATCATGACCATTATTTTCAGCCTGCATATGTCCACTGCAGGATGAAGGCCTCTCCCAACGATTTCTAGTTCACCCTATCCTCTGCAAGCTAATTTCACTTCATCCCTGCAAACTTTTTAATATTGTCACCCCATCTAACTCTCTGCTTTTCTAGAATATATACTATATATTTCTCATCCCTCAATAACCATTCTGTTCTTAACATCCACCGTTTGTCCTGCGCATTCAATGGCCAGCCATTATTGCGTATGCCTTATATATATGTATCTCACTATGTGTTATTACATTTTGAAATAATCTCCATTCATTACTCATGCTGCCATAACACTGCATGAGCTGTACTTTAGGAACTTCGAACCACCATTTTATGTCTACCATCTGATCAACTGCATCTAATGCCTATTGCAGCAAACATGCAACAATGAGTCTTGCTAACAACATTAGAATTCTGTATCACAGTTATAAACAGTTTTCTAGTCCCATGCACTGCATAAACCCCAGTAGAGTGCTCCGTAGTTGCACATGCACTCTAACTATTCTAATGAACTGACAAATAATGATAAGTTGGCAATGTGACTAGAGAACTGAGCCTTCACTGGAGCTCATATGCTTACAGTTTAAGTGAACAAATGACAAGGCATCAAGATAAAGCTTGTCATTTGATAACTTTGGCAACAACAAAAAAAATTTCAGTGTACTCTTTCTGATGGTGGAGGACCAAGGAAGCAGAAGATGGATTAAATTGAATCTTCTTTCTAAGTGTTTGAAGCAACAACAGTCAATGTTATACATGTAACCTGCACAGTATGGGCACAGTTCAGAGAGTACTCATTGGTCATTGGTAATGACATTTGGCAATGAAATCTCAAAGTCACTGCTGAAGTGTGGAAGCTGCACAAGCCTCACCTGCAGTTTGTGCTTGTCGCAGTCAGGACGACAGGGCCGGGCTCCAATGCACGCGTCGTACACTTGGCTAAGCTTCTGCCTGAGCACTGCATGCCAACAGTTCACTGTGAAGCATCACTAACGACCTCTGCCTGCGAGTCTCTTACCATACTCGGCGTAGCTGTAAAGTGCCAGTGACAGCAAGACTGCAGCCAACTGGAAGTTGAGGCCCTGTTGACAAAAGCAGAACAGCAAAATGAGTGCTCCTGAAAACGTGAACCCAAGCATGCAGCACTAGCAACAACTGTTCTTGCAGCCACAATCACAGGGACACCAAAGTGAAATATTGGATCATTTGAGATTTATACACTATTCTTCAAGGTCTACGTCTTCATTCATTTTATATCTGGTAATTTCACTATCATAGGTTCATTACTGGAAGGCAAGTGAACGTCAGAACTTTGTTTGACTTACAGACCAAAAACACCAGCACTGGAATGTCAGCGTGGCATCACGATTTCGAAAGATTTTCATTTTGACTAAGCTGACATAATTACATTTCTTGGAACTTGCTGTTTTGTTCTCCCTTAGAACGTGATACAATGCAAATGAATTACTGGGGAATGCTGATGAAATGCTTCGCGTCCTCGAGCAATGATCAAACTTAAATGCTTTGCAAATTAATACGACTAAAACAAAAGCGATAATTTTTTGTCCAAAGGGTAAAGCCGGGCCATTCTCTCAATCTTTAAGCTATGAATCCGAAAACATAAAGATTGTGCCAGCTTTCAAAACCCCTCGTGTTTGGTTTAATGAAAAGTTGCTGTGGGACGCTCATGTTAATCACATATGCTTAGCTGCCTCGCATTTTATTGGTCTTTTATACCGTAATAATCATGCCCTTCCTATCAAAATCAAACTTTTGCTTTTCAATTCTATGTTTATGTCACAGGTTAACGAGACCTACTGGTTGCCAGTTTGTATGGGGCACTACCACGTTCACAAATTTAGAAAAGGTTTATATTCTACAAAAAAAAAAAAAAAGCTTTACGCCTCATTTACACTTTAACCACAGATTACCCTTCCTCACAGCTCTTCCAAACTGCTGCTATTCCAAAAGTATTTAGTCTCTATGAATTACGCCTAGCTCTCTGATATAAACATGAAATAAAACAAAATACATCGATGCTTAACGAAATGGCGTAACTAGCCGAATACGTTCCTATATACCCTTTGAGGCTGATGTAAAGATTTAAGGTGAAGTCTTCTCGCAGGAATTACGCTGTCCAAATGTTAAGAATCACTTTACCCTCTGTTTTAAGTGTTTGAGCACGAAGTGATGTTGACATTGACGTATGTTGTAGATCTGAGCTTCTAGCGTTTTTCTAATGAATCCTATATCTGGTCTTTCAAATGTGGAGTGGCTTTTCATGAAGTATTCCGAGTGCTTATTTTGTTTCAAATGCTGATGACTCTCTGCATGTAATGAATGTTTTTCATTCCGCAAAATGTGTGTACAGCGACTGCATGACGCTGGACTGTAACTGGCTAGGAAGACTAGTCAAGCTCTGTCGAGCTTTGTCTTCCCATGCCCTCTGCTCTGTGAAGTAGTAAATAAATGAAATGAAATGAATGAATTCATTTTTGATAAAAGAGCTATGTAGAGTTTGCTGAAGGGCCAGTTGGTACACATTACATTATTGAAAAAGAAGCAAATATCAGGCCCAATTCACATTCCACATTTGAGGAGGAAAGGTGCATAATGCACCTGGCACTCGTGGACATCACTGAACCTGTCACGAGTGTGTCAAGAGCACAGTGGCACGAGGGAACAAAAATGTACGTGACATTAGACAGTTTTAGTTGGGCGTCTGCTGCACTTCTGCTGACCCAGACTGACATTGGAAATGGCTGGCAGCCTGCATTCACAGAGCACTGTGGATGCCCAGCTAGAGTGTGTCTATTTTTACGAAGTAGGAATTGACCCACTATGTGTCGGTAAGGAAATATTTGTACCTGTATAGTGACATGCTTTGTTCACTATGAGGTTGATGATGGCGATAAGCAATGATGTATGAGCCCAATGCAATGCCTGGCCAGCTTTAAGCCACCCACTCGCTGAGCAGTTTGCGTGATGCGACACATAATGGCAATCTACGCTTCTGCCAGGCAACATTCTATCTGACACTTGACTCCTTGCGCGACGCGACATCCGTATTGATGAAGCTTGAAAAGGCTTCAATCTTTTTGTGAAGGAGTTTCAAGCAATTGTACTGCCCTGTGGTAGAATGTCTGCTTGCCTAATAGAAGGGCTGGCCACACTAATTTAGAAAGGGCAGCGGAAAGACACAGGGAAAAGAAATACAGTGCAGACAAAGAGTACTGACTAACAACTGGTCTTTTATTGCAGCCACCTGTGCATGTATAAGTGCCAAAATGAAGCAGTTGTGAGTAATCTAAAAGCATGCCGACAAGACTGGTTTTAACTAGTGAAAGAAAAATAAGATAGTGAGAAAGATAAAAAACTTTAAAGAATCTTACGCATGTGTGATGGGTGAGAAACACCACTCTACATCAATAAGAGCAAGAACAAAAGGACAATCAAACAAAATCTCTAAGAAACAATTTCAGAGGCAGACAAAAATATGGGAGGCCTGTTAACGTGTTTGTCACCTGCTTCATGAAGGAAAAAAGCTTCGAAGATCTTAAGCTCTGTCTTATCCCTCCCCTTCTTCAAAAACAGTGTGCTGCGAAAACCAGGAGAGCAGCCACAACGCCTTCAATGGTCAGTCAAAAAACCACTATTTATATTACACACATTACAATCATGTTCCTTCGCCCTTTCGTTGAAGCGCCTGCCAGTTTGGCCTACGTACTGGCATCTGCAAATTAAAGGAATCAAATAAACCACATTGAAAGTGCACTCAGTGAACTTGCTCATGTGTTTGGTTGTGCGGCCGGGGCGTTTGCCTTTGTTTGTCGTGCCACATAACTTCGAGAATTCGCACGGTGCTGTAGTGTACACATATCCCGCAGAAGTGAGACCACTAGCGTGGGTGCGATCGTAGCGAGCCACAGCGCCGTGTCCACCGTCGCCTCGCGTGAGTAAAGCCACTGCACTTGCGGGTTCAAACAGCCAAGGTGCTGAGCGCAGTGCAGCAAGTACACAGTACTGCTCTCAAACAATTTGCAGCATTTTATTGCCTGCAGCAACCCCAAAAACGTAGTACAGCGCCCACTGCAAAAGGTGGCGGGAAAGCAAAAGAGGCTTGTGTTTGGTAAGGCTTGTGTTCGGTAGTGTAAGTGTTCGCTGCAGGCGCAAGGCACCGCTGGCGAGCTTGTCCGAGCAAGCTCCAAGAACAAAAGAGTTGACAGACGGGAAAAAAAGGCGTGCTCACCATTCGCAATCCCAAGAATTCCTCTCACTACTGCCACACACGCGAAACGTCTCATGAGACTCCGAGCACGGTGCCACAGTCGAGATCCGGTGTGATCCCGTGCCGAATGAAAGAGGACAACGTCACTCCTGCTCTCCCCACACCGCGGAGGAAGAGAGAGTCATGCTAGGACATGTGGACGGTAGAAACAGACGAAAAAGCCCGCACAATGGCAACAGGCTAGCCACAATCCCCAAAGTGGGGACAGCACAGCTTGAATGTTATTCTTCGATGCAAGCTGTGCAAAATTTTGTGAACGTATGGGATCACATGCACATGCTCCTATGTCTTTGCGCTGCCCTTTCCAAACAAGTACTATGATCCAACTGGCCCATAACAAAGTACTTCTGGGCACACTGCTGGCTTTGGCCCATGATTATTATTTGCATCCACTGTAATTTTCTGCTTTCGGACAATGCCGATTTTCCCCCGTACAGCTAACAATCACGTTGTCGACACAAGAAATTTTGTGGTATGGGCTCTTTATCGTTAAAAACAGCATGAAGACTAGACACAAGGAGCAAATCGCACAACATGAGCACTCCTCTAGTCCAGTTCTCTTTTTGTGTCCAGTATTCGCAAAGCTTTTTTTTTTTTTTCTGAAAGTTACGCAGGCCTTAGCAGACACTCTGGGAGGTGATGGCAGGGGTAAACCTCAGCAGGGTCTGCTCAGATCTCAAACCCAGTTTGAGAGGGAAGATAGCGCGACATAAAACAAACATTGCAATGGACAAGATGTGCATTCCCAAGAGCAATGCAAGAATGTGGGGTGTCCTACTTTCAAGTGCGAACAGAGGGAGATGAGAGCCGTTGCCAGTTTGATTGCTTCTTTTCATATCTTCCAACACCTTGGAGCTTTCCACTCCTTCGGGGCTACCCAGGACGTGAGGGCTGCTCTGACAAACACAGGGATCCTAGATAGGCTGGCACTTGATACACTCGCCACGAAACGCAAAGGGCACCGCACATTACACAGGCACTCCTCAAGTACGAAAGACAAGTCTGTTTAATTAGTCAGCTTGATGGCTCAGTGCACTGGTTGTTCGCTGCATTCGGCGTTCATTTAAACCATGTCCAGGCAAAGTGAACCGTAACACTGTCTAATAATCTACAATAAATGCTCATTCATTTGGATTTCACGGGACCAGAAAAACTTCAGTTAAAATTGAGAGTACAAGAAAACAATAAACAAATGGCTATCTCATCAATACACTTCCATTTTCTGGATTAGGTAAAAAGTAAATCCTGTACTTTGCAGAGAAGCTGTGTAGGAGCCGCAATTTTCACAACACACGACATTGTTCACAATGCGGCCATGGCTCAGGACCTCCATCTTTTTGCTAACCCGAAACATTCCTATTCAAAACATTGTCACATCGTCACTATAAGGTTTGAAATGATGATGATGGCAATATAGACTGCGCCGCCTCGGTTCGATTGTCAGCGAATGCGATTTTCGCTCCTTTCTATTTGAAATTTCTGGCACTTCGACCTGAGTGTGCTCAGAGATTTGTTTGTATCAACCGGGTCGCAGCTAAGTCTGACCGAACTAACAAGAGTTTGATGCCACTGAACAATGCATACACTGACTGAGACTGCATAATGCGTCCGAATGGTCCAATTTTCCAAATTAACAGCTGTCAATCTAACGAGCTTTTACTGTATATAACGTCCTGGTGAATTTGTGTGAGAACAGCAAGGTGGTCCACTGTTTTGAAAGAAAAACAGGTGCTCGCTGCCTCTGCTTTCTTTCAACCCATTTTCTGCCTCAACAAGAGTCTTCTCATCAAAAAAAGTGGCATTATAGGTAATGTGAAAAGTTAATTTGCTAATACAAGTGAAAAGAATTTTCTTTTTAGCATCCTATTAAAAGTCACACAGCATGAAAGAAACCATTTCAGGCTGTATAAGTTGCTCACTTTCAGACTCTAAGAGCATGAAAGAACAGCCCACTCACCTAACTTTTCAGTGAAAGTGCCAGTAGACACATCATGCAAATCTTGCAAAAATATACATTTGCAACTCGAAGACTCAAAATTGCTGCAACTGCAGTGCATCAGAAATTACCGAGAACATGAGGAGTTAAAAGCGATTCCAATAGCTCAGCAGTGACCGTCAAAGTACTGAAGCATCTGCAACGCAATGAAAGTTTTGGAGGCCGAGATTCGCATCAAATCTGCCAGCCACGGTTCGGAATAATCAAAAAAGGTGTTCTGAGCCATAAACTTTCTTTGTAATGGCAAAGCACTGATGGTGAGCCTTCCCAAGTAGGTGTTGAGTTGGCTTCCTATTCAACTCCAGGTAATGCTGTTTGTGGAAGAAATTGCCTATTCTTTATCTGTAGCACTTCTGCACCTAATACTGGTTGGTTGGTTGGTTGCGAAACTTTATTGTGGTCCTGCAAGGCACGCGTCAGCGTGCAGCGGGCAACTTCCACGTCGGGACCGTTAGGCCAAGCCTATCGGCCGCTCCACGGGCCTGCTGGACGGCCCAAAGTTGGTCGGCCAGGAGCGAACTGTGTAGGGCCGCCTCCCACCGGACCGATGTAGTGTTGGGGTTAGTGTACATTGCCTTGCACTCCCAGAGCATGTGCGCCAGCAAGGATACATCCCCACATGCGGGGGCAAGCGTCATGGGGAACACATCAGGATAAATAGCGTGAAGGGATCTCAGGTTAGGGTACGTGTCGGTCTGCAGTAGTCTGAGCGTAAGGGCCTGTGGCCTATTAAGATTTGGATGAGGGAGAGGATATAGTCTTCGCGCGAGGTAAAAATGTTTTGTTATTTCATTGTACATGGCAGGCGCATCCCTGTTCTCTGCAACCCCGTTGGCCCCAAATCGTTGCCCGGAACCGGCGCGGTCGGTTAGCGCGCGCGCGGCCTCGTGGGCAGACTCGTTGAGGTTGGGGGGAGCGCCTTGGACCTGTCCAACATGTGCAGGAAACCAGATCAGTACGTGGTGCTTTATACCGTCGCGGCCACTACTCTGGAGCACGCGCAGAGCTTTCTTGGAGATTACACCACGCTCGAAAGCACGAATAGCTGACCTAGAGTCTTTATAGATGACCTCCCTTTTACCTTCCAGGATGGCCAGGGCGATGGCCACTTGCTCGGCAATCGTCGGATCATCAGTGTGAACCGATGCACAGTTGGTGATTTGCTGTTTGGAGTCGGCGACGACTGCCGAGAAGGTGCGGCTCTCACGGTACGCTGCCGCGTTGACAAAGCTGACGCCGCGCTCCTCACTGTGAATCTGCTTGAGAAGAGTGGCAGCTCTAGCCCGTCGCCTACCACGATTGTGCTCGGGATGGGCATTCCTCGGTATCGGTGCCACGATGATGAGGTCTCGAATCTCACGGGGCACCTGTCTCATCTTCTCGTCCACTTCAGCCGGAAAGTGACCGAGCTCTCGGAGTATATGTCTGCCAGGCTGGGAGCTTGAAAGGCGCGCGAGCTGGGCCTGCTCCTGCGCTTCGGCAATCTTCTCCAACGTATTGTGTACTCCGAGCTGGAGCAGGCGCTGTGTGCGCGTCCTGATCGGGATACCGAGGGCCCGCTTGGTAATGTTTGTGAGCAAGACGTTGATCTTGTTACGCTAGGCACGCTGCCAATTGTGCATAGCCGCGACATATGAAAAGTGGCGGAGCACAAAGGCATTGACCAGGCGGATTAGGTTGTCTTCCTTGAGGCCTTGGTAGCGGTTGGCCACCCGCCGAACCAGCTGAACTGCGTTATCCGTCTTGGCGGCGAGCTTGAGTATAGTCTTGCCGTTGGAACCATTAGACTCGATGGTCATGCCGAGGACCCGAATGGAGTCGACTCTGAGTATTGTGCACTGCCATTTCCGGTGTAGAGCTTGATATCACTCTTCAAGATCGGCTGCCAGTTTTTGGGCTTGGGCCCTCGCCTAGCGGGTTGCTAGAGGAGGGGCTCGGACTTGTTTGGGGAATACGTCAGGCCTGTGGAACAGAGGTAATCTGTGGTGTCTATGGCCTCCTGCAGGGAGCGCTCGACTTGCCCGTCGATGCCACCTGTGCACCAAATGGTAATATCGTCCGCGTAAATTGTGTGGTTAATGCCTTCGATACATGAGAGCCTATTGGACAACCCGACCATGACAAGGTTGAATAGGGTAGGCGATATCACTGACCCTTGTGGCGTGCCGCGCGAGCCCAGCTCGATCTCCTCGGAGACATGGTCTCCCACTCTGAGGGTGGCTCTCCTACAGGTCAAGAACGATTTGACATATTCGCAGAATTTGACTCCAAGGCCAAGCTCAGCAATCGACCACAACACGAAAGAGTGAGTAACATTGTCGAAGGCTTTTTCTAAGTCGAGGCCGAGAATGGCCCGCATGTCTCGAGTGTTGCAGTTGATGACTTGGTGCTTGAGCAGCTCCATAGCGTCTTGCGTCGAAAGCTTGGCCCGAAAACCAATCATGGTGTGCAGGTAGAGCCCATTGTCTTCAAGGTATCAAGTCAACCTATTGAGGACCACATGCTCGGCTACCCTTCCCACGCAGGATGTGAGTGCAATCGGTTACTACATGTTCTTAAGTTTTTTGTTTTTTTTTTGCGGTCATACTAGAAGAGTTATGAAAAGGCAACGCACTCTTGTGAAAGCTACCGGGCTGAAAAATGTGTAATTTCCTTGTAAGAAGCCTTTAGAATTGCACAGTAGCAAATGACTTGAGTAGTTAGTGGTTTGTGGATATTACTCAACTCCTAGATCACAGGCACCAAAATTTTTCAGCTATTGGCGAGCCCCATTTTAGAAGTCACATGTCAAAATTATTGATTAATATGTGAGACTTAACATTCGAAAACCACTATATGATTATGAGAGACCGTAGTTGAGGGCTCCGGTAATTTTGACCACCTGGGGTTCTATAACGTGCACCCAAACCTGAGCACACGGGCCCACAGCATTTTCACCTCCATCGAAAATGCAGTCGCTGCAGCCGAGATTCGATCTCGCGACCTACGGGTGAGCAGCCGAGTACCTTAGCCACTAGACCACCGTGGCGGGGCAATGTCAAAATGCTCCACTAGTTCTCAGTGTTCTTGCTCATCCATGATATCCATTGGTTGGTAAAGATAGCATGTACTTTAATTTTTCAATCGAGGGCACAAACTACAGCATAGTACTTACATGGCATTCGAACTCGTATTTTCAATGTTAGACATTAATAATGACAGCTTTATATTTACACTACATGAAGCTAGGCTTTTCAAGCAGCTTAAAATTAAAGGCCCAGAACTCGGAAAGGTGAGTAGATGGAAAGTACAATTAATACTCACATGAAGCAAGGCACTAGTTGCATATGTCAACAGCAGGGATCCGAGGTTCCCCAAGTGCGGCCGGGTGACCTGAAATACGTCTGCGCACAAATTTCTCCCTCCACGTCCACCGCAACGACCAGCCATCTCCGGCCAAACTTACAGTGCTTGAGCCAATTATGCATAGCACGATTCCAATGCACTACCACTTGCACCAGCGACCGGGGGAGTTCCACTTCCAGAGGGGAACACAGCTGCAATGCCCTGAGGAGAAGTGGAATGCAGCAGCCGAGATCAGCAACACTGACATACCTCATTTTTCACTATGGTGATGTTCTTCTCACCAGACTAAGAATTATGTGCAGTTTTAACTTGGCACGAGTATAGAAAACTATTTGAATGCTGTCACCAATTCTTCAGCGAGGAAAAAGTGTGTCTGATCATATTAATCCCGCACTGTGAACATAGAGTTGTTCTTTCACGGATGTTTGCAAGAAACAGTGATTACTCCAAAATCTACGCAAACATACCAGCAGACTTGCAAAACTTGATGAATAAGATCCAACGACCATCGACAGTGTGCAGCACTATTGCCACAATTTCAGTGTTTAATATAACATTGCTAACAAAGCCACTAACTTGAGTCCTTTTCAAGTTCTGTGGCAATGCAACACAGAACTTTCTCACACAGGCAAGGCTCTGTTAGAAGATGCCCTCTTTACAATCTGGAGCCCACCACTGTCAACCCTTACACACATAGCGGTGCCAACACAATAGTGTTACTGGTAATTCAGATAACAAAGTTGTCTTATAGAAAATTACGTCATGTACTCCCACTTTCAGCGGCGTTCTCACTTTCCATGATCAGTAAAATCTGACAATATAGCAGCACTTCAAAACTGTGCAACCTTCCAGATGCAATGTCCCACACCGAAATCATCGTCAGAGTACATACGTCTTCTTGACTTAATGCACAACTAGCATGTGTTTGCTGGACTACTATGCAAGTCACACTATCGTCAGCCTGACTGGGCTACTGTAGGGCAAGGGCTTCTCCAGTGTTTCTCCCACCAGACTCTCCCACCTGGTCCTGTGCTTGCCGCAGCTACGTCATCCTTGCAAAACTTCTCAATCTCATCTGCCTGGCTAATGTACTGCCTCCCTCTGGCGCACACTTGCTGTCTCCTGGAATGCAGTCTGCTACTCTTAATGACTCGTCTTAGCGACTTCTCACTGCCCATGTCCATTTCTACTTGATTTAACTTGAGATATGCCACACACGCTTCATTGTCTATTTTTTATGTACCAACTAACCCGTGCTGTGCCATTGCCTCTCTGCACCCGACCACTGATGCCCCAGCCACTGTTCTCCCACGTTTATCAGACACTGCATACATTCCAGAGCAAGATTGGACGGAGCGGAGAAACAACAGCGCTGCACACGCCTGCAGCGTCAACTCTCTAAAGCCACCGTGCAGATCTTCTTGCTATTTCGACTTTACTGATGCAGGTGCAACGAAATGGACTCAACGAGCTGCCAGTTCCATAAAAAGGGTCTTAGGAAGTCAGAATCTTCAGCCTCAAAGCACCAAGTCGTCAACTGGACATTTAATATTGAGGTACAGATGTGCTCTTTATTGTGCACCTGCCAGTGCTGCAGGATTGATAGGATCCGATCGTGACCACGACATGAAAAGGAGGAGGAGGGGGTGAACCTGAACCATGTTAGTTGATCCGGCACACTGAAAAGCGCTGGTGTCTGTTCATTGAAATCGGAACTCTGTATACTCGTTTTCACACATCAGGTGAGTGGGAATTGAGGCTAGCCCGCCCCCGTTGCGCAGGATTTGCCGCCTGTTTCTGCCGTTCTCGTGTCCTGACATGACTCTCTCCTACGTGATCTGTTGCGCTGGGGGAGCGGGAGTGAGTATTAACCTCTCTGACCCGGTAGCGGATGTCGACTGTGACGCCGTGCGCAGAATCTCTCGGGACGTTCCATGCACACGCATCAGGAGTGAGTCAGATCTCTCTGGGACAACCTAAGCATTTCTTTCCCGTCCAGTGAGCATTTCTTCCCGTGAGCACGCATTTCTTTCCCGTCTGTCGGCTCCTATCGTTTGAGGCTCGTCAGACTTCGCCAACGGCGCCTTGCGTCCACGGCGAACGCTCACCTTTTGTTGCCCCTTTCGAACGCTTAGCCGAAGAGCGTTGCGGTGTCTTCGCACGTGGTCGTGCTACGCCGACCCGTATCTCTCGAAGCCAACCCGAGCGCGAGCGAAGTTTTGCTTTGCTTGCTGACCGGGCCCTTTTGTCCCGGTGTCCCCGTGAATCACTTTTGTCCACGGAGACGTGCTCGCGGCACCCTGTGTAGTACTTCTCGCCCGTGGCATGGATAAGCCCATTTGCTTAACCGCCGCCCCTTTTGCAACGAGCTCTGTACTGCGTTTTGGTGTTGCCGCAGGCAATAAAGTGTTGCAACCTTGAACAGTACAGTGTTCTCGCCACGGCGACGATTAACGCGTGGCCTGCGGCTCGCTAAGACCAGACCCACGCTACTGGCCGTGCTCGTTTAAGATACGTGTACACTACAGGTGCAATGCTATGAAAGCCGACAAGACTTCTTGCGGTAGGTGCGTTCACATTAAAGAATAGTTGCTCGTTTTCGCTACCCATAATTGATATTTCTTTTCATTCTTAGGCAGAGAATTAAAGAAAAATGTTTTGTGCTTTAGAAATAAATGAATCCTGTCATACAGCTGGATATCACACGGCTGAATAGCTTAGCGTCTTGTTGTTTTTCTTTTTTTTTATAAGTTTCATTTGCGCACCATTGAGACGAGTTGCATAGAGGCTCGTGCGAGCGCTTATAACGACAAAAACCAACCAAAAAACGTGCGGAGTTACACATTCTGGTGATCGAACTTCTTGCGTAGCATCCACAGCGTTGGTTGTCTCTGATGCATGAAATGGATTGCATATGCTTGTACATGAAGTACTTACCCCCAACTTGTGCTGCTTACTGCTCTGCGCACAATGTCCACTAGTGTCCACAGAGGCCACACTATTCAAGTCATAACTCCCATTATACGTGCAACCACTACCTTGCATAAGCTCTCTCTGAATGTGTGGGAGCATTTCCAATTACTTTAGAATCTTCTTATTAAGATTGTGCACTCAATGAGAACGACTGAGATTATTCTGGAACTAACCCAGCCCCTATCCAAAATGCTGACATCGTCAATGCCACATGTATAAATGCCAATGAATTTTGGTGCTCATCAGATTATTCGACGACAGTCATATGTGTGGGCTGATAACATTGCACTCGGTGTCATTGTTCTTCACCACACAAGTCTTCTCAATAGAGAGTTTCATTCTTACCGGCTATGACTGCTTCATTCCCTGTCACAACCAAGTGACAATGTATCCTTGACACACATTTGTTCACTAATCTTATCTTGTCCTCGTTCTGTGCTCTTTTCTTGTCCATTAAAATTGCATCTATCATTTGCCTTTCCTTGGCTTGATCAGTTTAATTTAAACCCCCTTCACAATACTCCAGGTTCCTCCCCTATAGATAAGTTTCAGTATGCTATAATGTTTCTGAAAGAACACCAGCCAGAACGCAGAGTTAGAACAATGTTGCTAATTGATTTGTGAAGCTTAGCGTTCCAAAACCACCATATGATTACGAGAGACGCCGTTGAGAAGGGCTACGAAAATTTCGACCAGCTGGGGTTTGGGCACCCAAATCTACGGGCCTATGGCATTTTCTCCTCCATCAGGAATGCAGCTGCCGCAGCCGGGTACCTTAGCCCCTAGACAACCACGGCGTGGCAGAACAATGTTGCTGGTGATGTCTATCATTCGGTGCGCTTTCAGAACAGTTGCAATCTAAAGCAAATATTTTTGTTGTACCTTGACAAATGCCATCTGCTTTGCTTGCCTTTCCTTACCTGCAAATTCTCACACTTGCTACTTTCCCACCAAGAATACCATGACACACTGAAACCATGCGTGCCATTTCTGAACTGAAAGTAAAGGGTGCCCTGTGTCGAAGCTGGAAAACGCATGCAACATAGCCAATGATTACTGTCGTGTGACAGAAGTAGTGAGACCTGAAGGGCATACCACACTCACAAGGTTCTTTTTGGTTGGTGAAGTGTTACACTAAAAAAGGTGCAAAATCGCAACCATTATTTTAGGGTGAATGAGAGCTTGGAGCAAGGCTTACCAAGTTCCCTCGTTGCTGACGCCCGACGCAACTGCGCTGGCCTCGGACAGGAAGGTGACAAAGTAGTGGCTGAAGCGAAACGAGAGCGCATCGCGATATGCCGCCAGCCACCTGCAATGCGTGAAAGTTCAAAAGTGTAAGTAGCTGGGCCAGTTGGCATGGATCCATGGTACCAAGCAGCGGGAAAAAACAAGACAGACACACAGGAAGAAATCACAAAAACAAGCAGTGGCTTTCAACTAAAATTTTGACTCTGTTGTTGTTTATGTCCACAAGAGAGCAACTTTCACGTCTATTCAGGCATTTTTGCTAATGAAGGAATAAGGACACAGAGGGACAAAAAAGAAAATGGCAGTTGAACAAAAATGTCTAACGAATTCACCCAGCTGTGCTATTCTCTCGACTGCTTGCTTGCTGGTGAACTGGGCAGTTGTTGAAGTGCCAGGTAGGACGAGAGAGAGAGAAACGAACAAGAAAGGCAAGTAGGTTGACCACACTTGGCTCAGTTGGCTACCCTGCACTTGGGGAAGGGAAATGGGAGAATAACAGATAAGATGGAGAAGGAAGAAAAGAAAAAAAGGGAACTGAACCGTTAGTGAGAACACACACAACACCAACTCATGCTGGTAGTTCACACACGCTCCATGTAGCTTGGCAGGCTTTCGTGGCCTTGTGCGTGCACATGCCAAGGTCCCAGGATCCACTTTTCAGATAGCGGTCTTGCATCAAGACGATCGAGTATGGCTGCTAGAACACACCGTTGAGTCTGGTAGCAAGGGCAGTGGCATAGAACGTGCCGATCATCTCACAGCCGCATGCATTGCATGCTGCACTCTTGGCCGTTCCTATGAGACGTGAGTATGGATTCGCAAGTGCCACACCCAACCACATAGTACGACATAACAAAGTTTCATCTCAGCAGGAGAGTTTGGATGACAAATTATGTTGCATCTGGGCCAGCTGGTAATCTTGGGTGAGGAGTTTGATTGCAGCAAACTTGGGAACGAACGGGCGCATGTCCTCGTGTGTCATTCTCAATCAGCCTCCATTCTGCTGCAATCTCTCGTCCACTTGTCGGAGAGCATGGCTGTCTGACCCTCACATGGCAGCTTGACTGTTACACAAACCAACATGAACCCCGTAACACACAATGCCTCCATAATTTTTTCCCCTCATTATTAAAAGGGCACCCAAGGAAAAGATCATTTTTCTCCTATTGAGAAATTGCAGCTTGGCAATACCAACGATCCCATGCTTGTTATAAATATACATTGGGTAAGTGAGAAAACACACAAAAATAAAATGCGAGTGGTGCTGCTACCTTAATATTCCCGCACTGATCACTGCGCTGAGTAGATTTTGAGGGCTTCTCCTAGGGCCCGTATTGTTTTTAGTCTACAAAAATGGCGTGCTTTATCCCCTGAAGCTCCCAGAGTGTAGTCTCGAATATTTCGTTGATTCAATGCTGCCTGAATATCAAAAATACACTTTGAAATCCATGACGTAGGCGCAAAAGTTTTGGCACAAAAGTTAAAGACAAAGCTTTCACTTTGATTTTCTGCTCTATTATAAACATATCAAGGTGAAATGAACATCATTAGAGTTTTCAGAGTACGACTTATCAATGCAAACCGTTTCATTGTTTTGCTTTAGTGTCGTTTTAAGAATATGGTGTAGCATGTAGCTTGCCTCAGGCCTAGCGTGTTGGAGAGGAGCCATGTGGACCAGCAGTTTGACACAGTCAAACAGGCGTAACACAACACCAGGCTCTGGCCCAGGGCACGGAGCCACGACCAGAATCCGAGACCAGCAAGGAGTTCAGGCTCGAGGCTCCTGGCATATGCCTCGTACCCAATCCATGGCCCGAACGGGGCCGAACCCACGTGCAGCAGGTAGCCAAACATGGCAGAGGGAGTGGGTGTTGCGAGTCGGCCACGGTCCATGTCAATGGCTAGGGACACCAGCTTCATGCACAGAACCAGCTGACAGCCTGCGTACAAAGCGACAACAAAAACTTAGAAAAACCTCAAGATACATTTACCAGCACAAAAGGACGAAACAATTGAGAATAAACACACATACAGCATTGATGCGTGTGTGTTCCTTCTTAAATGTTTCATCTTTTTGCATTGGTAAATCTATCTCAATCATGAACCAACTCGCCCGAGCAGCAATTTCAGCAAAGTTGCATAGACTCGGCAATACAGATCTTGGCACAGTTGCAAATATAAATGTCAATGCTTCCTTACCTCGGACCTGGTGCCAGGACTTGGGCTCAACAAGCCACAGCTCACTGCAAGGAAAATTTCAGGTGGTCGTTAAGTCTTGTCACTTCAATGACTACTACGTGCTAGTTAGTAAAGTTCCACGTTTTACTAGCAGTATGCCGAAAGTTGACACTGAAACAGAAACACACAAAGAGAAGTGGTATAACTTGGATCAACCTTAAGTCAATTGAAGCACAATAAATGCTCCACACGGCTGCCGGAACTTTCTTGCATCACCGAGCTGGCTCCTTTTGGTATTCAATAAAATGTGGAAGCCTTTGTCCCACATTACAACAGCATCTGACCCACTCGAACGAACACATGCCACTTGAAAAGTTAGAAAGCAATATTCAACTCAGAGCAAATATTAGGATCTATCCTTGGAATGTTACTGCCAGAAAGCAGCCGTGTAAATCGAGAGCTTTGTCACATGTGTGCTCCAGCTCTGTTGCTTCAACTACATAGCCACAGAAAGTTATCTTCAGGTGAGACTACGTGGCTCGACTGCATCACTCACCAGGCAATGACAAAGACAGCCACCAGAGAGGCACACGAGAGGCCATGGTGTCGAGGCAATGACGTCAGCACGGCCGTTCCCAGTAGTGACAGGCCAACCACATAAGCTGCCAGGTGCCCGACCAGACCATACAGGCAGCATACGCCAAGGAGTGCGGACAACGCATGCACCCACACACTGCCAACCGGTAGAAGTCCTGCAATATCGCAAAGTTGTTTAAGATATTCTGGCATTACAAGAAGGTTTGAAACGTAGGTCAAGTTGAATGCCTTAGCCCAGCAGCATAGAAGTAAAGCAACCACTATAAAGAGTTGTGTCGTTTCATGCATATAAGAAAGAGGATGCAAAGCTGAATGTATGTGCGTTAAAGGCGGGAAAGACCACAGTAAGCTTCGAAGATCCAAGGCGATGGGCACATCGACAATTAAATGACGGGTTAAGCCGTGCTCCGAGAAATTGCCTGTAGTTTACAACTTTAGAAGGCAGCGGGAATTCCTCGAATGTGTGAACATGGGCCTGCAATAAGTGCGTACTCTAAACTGACATCCCTAGCCGGATTTCCAGTAACTCCGCCACATGGCTCACGAGCCAGACTATTTCATTAATTGCAATCAGTCATCCGGGCAGGGCCTCACCTGACATTTCAGTTGTACCTGACTACAGCATCTGTAAAACTCATAAATCCTGTGTAAATGTTTTTGAGTTCAGTTGCACGCAGTACTTGCAAGACATGTGTCATAGTTTGTTTCATGCCATGGCGGCAACATTGAAACTAGATTCCTTTGTCACGCTTAAATATAGAATCAGAACTAAAGGAGACAGAGGCAAGAACACAGTTTAGAGTAAAGAGAAGAAACAGGCATAGACAATAAAGGAAGAAGAGAGCAAAACAGGCACGATTTGTTTCAATGCAGAAATATTGAAAAGAGAAAGAGATCAATCATTCGAAAACAAATTAAAAAAGTAGAAGAAAAGCTCGGTGGTAAAGCAACATGGTAAAGGACAATTTTCCCCCCTTCTGCGGCCATAGTAAGCGAATGTGTCATAATATAATCTCATCTAAATGTCAACAACATGCAATTTTTGAGCAGATCTTACGTCAGAGCTCTTTTAATGCTTTACGTAAATTGCATCTAGAATCATATGGCCCATGCAAACTACATAACATAAAACAACAGTTAAATAGTTAATTTACAGAAGTTGGAGCCACTCGCAATAAATACTGATGCTTAACTTGCTTGCTAACTGGCTGTTTTTTTTTTCTTTTTAAAACATCAAGGTGGTCTGGTGCTTATGGTACTTGACGGCTGATCGGAACTTAGCGCGATCGGCTACCGGCCGCGGCGGCCACATTTTCGGCGGTGGCGAAAATGCTTTAGGCTCATGCATTTAGATTGTGATTTTGGGAAGTGCGGTGAACCCAACAATTATTATTAAACGCTGGTTTTCTTCAACTGAGCCACGAACCGCATTCGTCCGCGCCTAACTTCAGCTTATTTCTAACACCATCTGCTCGTGATGTTCGAGTTTTATTCGTAATTCAACGACTAGCGCATAGTTAAACATGCGTTTGACATGGTAGTTTTTGTGTGTGTGTGTGGGGGGGGGGGGGGCACATGATTCATGGAATACCTAGCTCATTCCCGAAAGTGGGTACGTGCCACTGTCAGAGATTTTACGTGCACGACTATATCACCACAACACCACGCCTCTTCGGTTCAATCGCGCAGCACGCAATCCCACTACTCCAACACAGCCACCAAATTGCGGTATTAACACCGTGCTGGGTGCAACCAGGACGAAGGTGCGTGAAGCAATACAAATAAAAAAGAACAGTGCGAAAAGGCCGTCGTCGCATAGAAAGCTTTTCCATTCACAAAAGTCTAAAGCGAAGTGACGGTGTAAATACTCACTGGTGCTGACGATTGTCCTAAGGAGCAGGCAGGCGGGCAGTAAAATAACTGCCGCGCGAAGTCCATCACGCAGACTGGGCGCTAGGCAATCGTTGTAGAGATCGCTGAGTGAGACATCGGGAGCTGTGACAACTTCGTCATCATCGAAATAGTACTCCTCGTCAGGCAGCCCGTCCCCGTCGTCATAGTCAAAATCCATCTGTCGCGCGGTTAGGATACACAATCATTACCGATGTACGGGAATTCTACATTGGCCCAAGCACGACATGAACGAACAGCATGCACGCCAGAGTAATTGAATGAAACCAGGCAGACTAGAGACAACTTGTAACGCCGGCATGAACTTTATGAATGTAAACTTTGTTGCTTTAGGGATTTTGTAAACAGACGCGACCATCCCGCCCACCATGGTTGCCGCTGGGAACGGGTAAAGTGGCGAAACTTGGAGCAACTTTGTTCTATTGAGTCGAGAGGTCGTACATAGGTCGTACATAGGTCGCACATTGTCTTTATTTATTCGCAATTCATTTGTCTTCACTGCTACTAACGTTCATGTAACAAGTATAAAATATAAATTTATGGCTTGATCATTCGGCTACGAAGCAAGGCACTGCAATGTAGGTATAAAAACAAAGTACATGTAGTTTTATAAAAATTCAAAAGTTCTGAAGCATTGAATTCAAATACAGCATGGTGGCACCAACAAGGTGCAGCCCTAGAATTGATATACCCCCCCCCCCCCCCCCTTCCATTCCTGCCTAGAGGGTACCGACACCGCACCAAAGATTATCCTACATCAACCCATCCCTTGCAGCCCCTAATGCAGTAATACTGCCCCCCCCCCTCCACGTTTTGGTAACGCCTCACCCCCACCCAACCACATATAAAAATGGAATTCTGAATAAACCGCGCGGCCTATTTACCTTCGTGTGGTGTCCACAAGCAATGTCCTTCGAAAGCACGTAAGAGAAGCGATTGACCTCTCAAACGCTGAAATGTCGCGTGATGCACTTAGACTGCTTTAATGGGACACGTGTAAAAAGACAAACGCCCTGAATCAAATGTCATAAGACGACTGCTCTGTATTCTAGAGGTAACTTAAGTACGTCTTTGCTAGTTTCAGTGGTGTGTTTTTACGGCATACGCGTACATCACAACTGCTCGCCACTGATGAATTTTTTTTTTCAAATAGATGAACACTCTCAGCTGATTTTGGCCGTCACCGTCATGTCCTATGTGTGTGTGTGTTATATATATATATATATATATATATATATATATATATATATATATATATATATATATATATATATATATATATATATATATATATATATACAAGATGGAGGACATATTGTGTTAGAAAAACCAGCCACTCTGTTTACAAGGTGTCTCCTGACGGGAACAGTACCAGAGTCTTGGAAGAACGCTAACATCATCTTAATACATAAGAAAGGAGATGACAAGGACTTGAAGAATTACAGGCTGATCAGCTTGCTCTCTGTAGTATACAAGCTATTTACAAAGGTAATTGCTAACAGAGTAAAGAAAACATTAGACTTCAATCAACCAAAGGAACAAGCAGGATTTCGAACAGGCTACTCAACAATTGACCACATTCATACAATCAATCAGGTAATAGAGAAATGCTCAGAGTATAACCAACCACTATACATAGCCTTCATAGATTACGAAAAGGCGTTTGATTCAGTAGAAATATCAGCCGTCATGCAAACACTGCGGAATCAGGGCGTAGATGAAGTATATATAAACATTCTGGAAGAAATCTACAAGGGATCAACTGCTACCATAGTGCTTCATAAAGAAAGCAACAGAATACCAATCAAGAAGGGTGTAAGGCAGGGGGATAAAATTTCCCCAATGCTATTTACCGCGTGCTTACAGGAGGTTTTCAGAAGCCTAGAATGGGAACAGTTAGGGATAAGAGTCAATGGAGAATACCTTAGTAACCTGCGCTTCGCCGATGACATTGCATTGCTGAGTAACTCGGGGGACGAATTGCAACTCATGATTACGGAGTTAGACAAGGAGAGCAGAAAGGTGGGTCTTAAAATTAATCTGCAGAAAACGAAAGTAATGTACAACAACCTCGGCAAGGAGCAGCGCTTCGAGATAGGTAATAGTGCACTTGAAGTTGTAAAAGACTATGTCTACTTAGGGCAGGTAATAACCGCAGAGCCGAACCACGAGATTAAAGTAACTAGAAGAATAAGAATGGGGTGGAGCACATTCGGCAAGCACTCTTACATTATGACAGGTAGATTGCCACTATCCCTCAAGAGGAAGGTATATAACAGCTGTATCTTGCCGGTACTTAGCTACGGAGCAGAAACCTGGAGACTTACAAAAAGGGTTCAGCTTAAATTGAGGACGACGCAGCGAGCAATGGAAAGAAAACTGGTAGGTGTAACCTTAAGAGACAAGAAGAGAGCAGAGTAGATTAGGGAACAAACGGGCGTTAAGGATATCATAGCTGAAATCAAGAAGAAGAAATGGACATGGGCAGGGCATGTAGCGCGTAGACAGGATAACCGCTGGTCATTAAGGGTAACTGACTGGATTCCCAGAGAAGGGAAGCGGGTTAGGGGGAGACAGAAGGTTAGGTGGGCAGATGAGATTAAGAAGTTTGCGGGTATAAATTGGCAGCAGCAAGCACAGGACCGGGTTAACTGGCGGAACATGGGAGAGGCCTTTGTCCTGCAGTGGATGTAGTCAGGATGATGATGACGATGATGATGATGATGATATATAAGGGAAAGAAGTGTTTACTAAAAGGCTCGTTTTTCGGTGTTTTGACACAATACTTATGAGATCTAACAAACAATAATGCCAAGGAATGTATAGGGGAAGTTATTAAAACCAATGTATTGTAAATAAGAAGAAAAGTGGGTGAAAAAATAACTTGCCGTGAGCAGGAATCGAACCTACGACCTTCTAATAACGCCTTCGATGCTCTACCACTGAGCCATCACGGCTGCTATCTCTCAGGTCACTTTATTAGATCTCATAAATTTGTGTCAAAACACGGAAAAACGAGCCCTTAGGTATACACTTATTTCCCTTATTCATTAACGAGGGTCTCGTACTGGCAGACTTGGTGCCGTCAGGTTGTATACGAGGGACTGTTGGTCAGTTGGCAGCTCGTATTTAGTTCACGTGCTACGTGATACCATACAGGTTCATGAAACAGTGTGCCACACTCGCCACCATGGCTACAGGTGGCGCTGACTGACACTCCCACGTTTAGTTTTTCATATAAAACCAATAAAATGGCTGGGGGGATAGCCGCTGTGATAGCTCAGCGGTAGAGCATCGAACACGTTATTCGAAAGTCGTAGGTTCGATTCCTGCTCACGGCAATTTATTTCTTCACCCACTTTTCTTTCTTCTTATTTACAATACATTGGTTCTAATAACTTCTCATATACATTCCGTGGCATTTTTTTCTGTTCACACACACACACACACACACACATATATATATATATATATATATATATATTATATATATATATATATATATATATATATATATATATATATATAAGAAAAATAAATAAATGGGAGAAAAAATCACAAGACGCCCTGAGATACGAACCAGCCAGCCCTTGCTCCCCAGCACGCTGCTAGGCCGCGCCGCTCTTGTCATTAATGGCGAGCTATATGTATGCACCATTTACCACTGGCTAACTGTCAATGTACTTAAAAGAAACATTCTTGAACAAAGCTTGTATGTCTCGCTTGTATAGTTATGTACCACGAAAGATGAGGCAGCTATAGTTCTGTTATACCTCTTTACAAAATTTCAAAAATTTCTTCATAATAAAACCCGTTTTATGGCCATTTATACCCCGTACGTGGTGGGTGAGATTCATATATCAAGGAAGAAGCAAGCAAGCAAGTTTCTCCCACCATCCAGCTACTTCCGGTGTCGACGCCCACACTGCAATGTCTGGGGCAATCTGCGGTGGAAGTTTTGGTGAAGTGCATTGGAGCTGTACTTTTCGCTACCGTCACCGATATTGTTGACGTCGACTGACACCAAGGAAGGAAACGCCGGTGAAAACTCTGTATGAAGTTCGGCCTTTGGGACGCCACAGCGTGTCGCACGAACACTTGCGGAACAGCTCCAAGGAATGCCAGTTGCGCTGAACCAAGGCGGGCTCGCATACATGCCCAAACACAGGGAGAACGTGCCGCTGCGCGTGTGAGAAACGCAGCAGCTCAACACTCATTCGACCGTATTCGCTACATTTAGTATGGCTCCCAAATCTCTTAGCTTTACTTCGTATAACAGTCCTATGTGTTGCTATAGCATTCATTTCTTCAGCCCTTGGCCGAAACTGTGACCTTTTTATATATAAAACGCTTGCGTATACTTTTGCGATGCGCTAGCTCTTTCGGTATCACTAGGTGCGAGCGATGTAAGCATATCCGCCTCACGCACTGTTGATTCTGCTGCGTACCATACAAGTGGCGCCATGCTCGGCGAACAGGGGCGAAAATTGGGTGCACGAAGCCCACAGATGAAAGCTGCCATGAGTTTTCCCCCCATTTTTGTATTCGCATTCTAGTTTGTTTTTATGTTGGCAACGCTGGCGCTGCTCAACGTGCCTTCCGTGCCATTTGTTATGCTTAATGAGATACAGTGAAGCTTCACTCGAACGAACTTCATTCAATGGACCCTAAGAAAAATTCGTTAATGTGAAAATTTGTTGAATTGAAATAGCTATGTTGCAACTTGTTACAGCTGGAGCTGTAACAAGTTGCACGTTATTCAAAATCCAAAACAATGTTTGCCAATGTTGCGTCGTTAATTTAAAAAAAAGGGGGGGGGGGGGTGGCAAAGCTTTACTGTGGGAGATAGAATACGTGGCTTTTGTATATGCTGCATGGGAGAGAGGAAAGGAAGCCTTCACGGCAGTAGTAGTAGATGCCGATCCACTCACTCGGGATGCTATATAGCAGTAATTGCTAAAGATGCGACAGTCGCAGAACATATGACCACAACATTGGCTTCAAGGAATAATAGGGGGACACGAATTTACAGCTATTCTAAAATAGCTACTAGACACTTTACTCAAGGCTTTGTAACCAAAAGGGCTACCCAGCTAATTGGCGAGATGGACAGCGAGGATATCGAAATCCGCCCGTTTCGTGCACACTTGGGGTCTAACGATCTATCTCGGACGAACTTAAACGAGGTGGCTAACGCAGCTGCTCAAGGGCTTACTTTCGGTGCAATACGTGATCACGATCCCAATAACACTCACAAGGATAACAGGGACCGATTGCTTACAAACAATGAAGTCACAAAGCATTACTGCATGAACAGAAGGGAATTACCAATGACACAAGGGACAGACCTCAAGTGGTGACTTTAAGATTGTTACGAGGATAAACTTACCCGAATCTCAATTTTATTAACAAGTCATATATCCAGAGAGAGACAGGTCAATTGCGAGAATCGTAATGGCATGATTACTCTAGACCATATGCTTTGGCAGTGTCATGTGGCTTTCACAGACTGTGATAAGTAAAAAGACTGGTGGCAAAGAGTCCTTCACAGTGGAGATATTTCAGATCAAGTACAGGCCATCTAGAAGGCCTACAATGTGGTAATAAGGTTAAACCTTAATTACTGTTCTAATGTGGGAGCCGCCTGCGTCAACCTAAGATCTTCGGGACCTAAATAAAGTTTACCATACCATATACCGCACAGTGATTGTAAGCTGATGCGCGAAGCGAGGACTATGGTATCGATCTTGTCACTTTGAAAGGTACAACGGAATCTCTTCGATACGTTTTTCACGGGAATCGGAAGATGAAACGTACTTTGCAAAAATTCAATTAACCAGAGGCTTTCAAAAGAGCAAATTATGGGTACCCCATAAGCAACTTACTTTTATGGAGCAGCATTGAAGTACCCCGTCAAAAGACCGCTGCCTGCAGTGTGGTTGCCTGGCAGCGATCTAAACAGACGTTGCTGCTAC